GACAAACACCTGGCTGCTGCCGGACCCGCTGGAGCCGTGGCTGTACAGCTGCGGCACGGCGCGGCATGGGCTGTGCTACCTGCACCAGCTGGAGGTGTGGGACGGCAAGGTGGCTATCACAACCACACGCTGCTTGTACTCGGCTGCGGGCAACAGCCCCACGTACTGCCCCGACTGCGTGGCCAGCCCCCTGGGGACCAGTGCCACTGTGGTGGCCACCCTCTATGCCTCTTTCTTCTACCTCGGCTCCACCGTCAACAGCAGCGTGGCAGCACGGTATAGCCCACAATCGGTGTCGGTCCGCAGGCTGAAGGGCACCTTGGATGGGTTTTCGGATGACTTCCAGTGGCTGACGGGGCTACCGCAATACCGGGACAACTACACCATCCACTACGTGCACTCCTTTGACGATGGGGACCACGTCTACTTCCTGACGGTGCAGCCAGAGCGGCCGGCCTCGGCGGCGTACCACACGCGCCTGGTGCGTCTCAGCACCCACGAGCACGACCTCCGCCGCTACCGCGAGCTCGTCCTCGACTGCCGCTTCGAGTCCAAGAGGCGGCGGCGGCGCAGTGTCGAAGAGGACACCGAGCGCGACGTCACCTACAACGTGCTGCAGGCTGCCCATGCCGCCCTCCCCGGCGCCCGCCTGGCCCGCGAACTCGGCATCAACGACACCGACATGGTGCTTTTCGGCGCCTTTGCCGAGAGCTGGCCGGAGAGCCGATCGCCGCGGGAGGACTCAGCCGTCTGCGCCTTCCCCCTCCGTCTCCTCAACCAGGCCATGGAGGAGGGCATGGAGAAGTGCTGTGGCACCGGGCACCAGCCGCTGCTGCGGGGGCTCAGCTTCTTCCAACCGGTGCAGTACTGCCCGCACAACGTGAGTCCTCCGCACCGTGCCGTGTCCATCCCGGGGGGCCTGGGGAGGTGGATCTGGGGTGCCGGGAAGCGCCGGGAAAGTGGGGTGGACTGGGGGGGGTGGTTTGGGCAGCGTCACCCAGGTGTGAGTCAGCCCCACCAGC